AATCTCAAGTAATGTCCTTAAAAATGCAAAAATTGGGCAAAAAATGCCTTAAATAAAGTAAAAATATTGAATTAAAAAAATGTTTAGCTCTTTAAAATTATTATGAGTCATTTAAAAAATATAAAACAATGCAATACTTGTTCTACGCTCATTAAAGTTTGAAAAATATGTTTTATATCCTAAAATAACAAAAAAAGGAAAATATATTGACACCAAAATATTTTTATTTTGTATAGAAACTTTAATGGATATAACAACTTCCATCTCATAATATTACTAAATATCAGAATTACATTGGATTATTAAATGTTTTTTGATAATTTGAAATGTAAACGAGCGTCTCTTGTCTGAAAGTAAATTTTCATTCCTGCAGAAGCTTCTTTCAACGTCTACTGATGTTATAGGTGCGTACTTGAAAAAGACGGTCTCACTTACTGACAATTCTTCTTCAATTTGAAAAGATTTTGCTTCACCTGTTAATATCCTATAGATTTTCTTCATTGTTTGGAAGCCAGTGTAATAATGAAAATTGATAAAAAATAATAAAAATTGGAAAAAATTAACAAAAAACTTTAAAAAATGCATTAAAATGCAAAATACGCCGCTAAATTTAAAGAAAAATGCCCTATAAATCTAAAAAAATGCTCTAAAAGACAAAAAATGCTGTCCAAAAATGCAAATGTCATCAAAATCCGGGCCTAGTCATTAGTATACTTTCAAGTTGAAAATTATAACTGACAAGTGATCAAAAATGTTCTGCACGTGCCACTGGAAAATTAATACTTTTCATTTGAAAAATCTATAAATTAATAAATACTCTTGAATTTTCTAAAAATGTTTTTGCACTTGAAATACACCTTTCTATGAAATGTGAAGAAAAAAGTAACTTTATACATCAAAATACATGAAGCCCGCATAACAAGCTGTAGGTGAAATTATGAGTTCAGATCATCCCGCATGTAATAGTGGACTTGCTCTGGACAGCTTTGAAGTTACGAAGAATAATTTTATTCGTTCAGTGTATATTTAGTTCTACATTTCATTAATTTCAACTTTTCTTTTGAGCTTTTGTATCCAGAGTAGTTTAAAGAGGCTATTTAAACAAATGTAAGCACTAAAAACTTAAAAGGATATTGCACAATCATAATTAATTTTCTATACCCTCAGTTTGAAATTGAATCAGTTAACAGCCTTTAAATCGTAGAATTTTCAGAAGTTTCGGTGAATTAAACTTTAATTTTTCTCTTAACGGGACATCGTGTATTTTATCTTAGGTCAAGAGTGACTTTCACACCGAGGATAAACTTTTTGAAGTACTAATTACATCAAGTACGAATTTGAAAAGAACAATTGGAATAGAAATGTATTTAGATCTATATACAAGGTGTTCCGTGATGAGTGCTCTAGATCTATAATTTTAGAATTTCTATCATAAGCGAGTATAAGAACATACGCAGATTTTCAGTCGAAAATTAATATTCAGAGTGAGGAGAAACAAAAATGCTAAAGAAAACTGACGAGTCAATAGTGAAGAAGATGGGATGACAAAACATCTAACAAGTTTGTTTGTTTAATAAAGTATGGAGGTGTTCATAGGAATTGCTCTTAAACTTCTCCATGTTTCATTCGGCAATCAACCCGGTTTTTATGTTTCCAGTTTCGATGATTTGTTAGAGTTTTTGTTTTCTCCATTTTAAATATTAACTTACAGTCCTTTATTTGACATTTCATTTTTGACAAGAATTCTAAAAATATCAAGGTTCGGTTTCATAAACTGTAGAAGTCTGAAGAAAAGAAAACTGTTAAAAATACAATACGTTTCTTTTCTACCATTGGGGGACATTTTATTAGATGTTAAATCATGCACAATATTTGCATTATAAGTTGCGATTTATACTATATGTTACGAATAAAAAATATCGCCAAAACTAGTGAAATTGTTAACTGTTTTTTTCTAAAATTATGGTACTATCAATACTTTAATAACAATATCATTTGCTATATTATAACTATTCAGTTTTAACTCATATTTATTGAAGGTAATAACTATGAGTTGTTATTTATTATTATAATAGAAATTAAGTTTTAAATATCTCACTTTATTGAAATTGCATTTCTCAGGAACAATTCGACCGATTTCGATTAAATTTTGTATTTTGCCATATAAAATTACATACTTTTAAATGATGCAAAAAATTGTATACCTTACAATACAAAATTTTTTAAATCATTTTTAAATTAGTTAAAAAAAATTTTTCAATAAATTACTTCAAGGGTTTACACTATTTAGTACAGTTGTTGGAATAAATTTCCTATTATTCCAACATAGGATATATCAGTGTTTTCATTACAGAAAAAAATGGGAGAGAATTTCTCAGCCTTTCTCAAAAACAGGGTGAGATTTCAAAAAGTTAAGTGAGANTGTAGAAGTCTGAGAAAAAGAAAACTGTTAAAAATACAATACGTTTCTTTTCTACCATTGGGGGACATTTTATTAGACGTTAAATCATGCACAATATTTGCATTATAAATAATGATTTATACTATTTATCACGAATTAAAAATATCGCCAAAACTAGTGAAATAGTTAACTGTTTTTTTCTAAAATCATGGTATTATTAATACTTTAGTAACAATATCATTTGCTGTATTATAACTATTCAGTTTTAACTCATAGTTATTGCAGGTGATAACTATGAGTTGTTAATTATTATTATTATAAAAATTGTATTTTAAGTATCTGATTTTTTTGAAATTACATTTCTCAGGAACTATTCGACCGATTTTGATTAAATTTTGTATTTTGCCATATAAAATTACATACTTCAGAATGATGCAAAAAATTGTATACTTTACAATACAAAATTTTTTAGATCATTTTTAAATTAGTTAAATTTTTCAATCAATTACTTCAAGGGTTTAGTTTAGACCATTTAGTACAGTTGTTGGAATAAATTTCCTATTATTCCAACATAGGATATATGTTATTTATCTGTTGTAATAATTTTGATATGTTTGCGTTCTAGTCAATACAATTCAGCATTAGTCAAAATAATGTTTTCGAATTTCGGTTTTATTCATGCAAAACTGGAAAAAAAAACTTGGAGTACAGAGAGCTTTGAAATTATGTTTTGGGGAAAGGAAGAGTTAAAATGGGAATAAATGAAAATTTATTTTACACGTAATTGTTAAGCGCTTTTTTTTAATAAGATTTTATATATTTATACTCAATAATTGCTTTTATATATTTGTTATATGCTTTTATATATGTTTCATATATTGCTTTTATATATTTATATTCAATAATTAAACAAATGATCAGATTGGATAAATCGTAATTATGCGTATTTTTTTTTATAATTATTTAAAATTTTCGAAACAAAAATTTGGATTTTTGACAGTAATTGTCAAAACAAAAAAGTATGTAGAGTAAAATGTACTATCTAGAGTAAAAATGGAGATCTTGTTGTACTGTAATCTTAAGCTTCAAAGTAAATAATTAAAAAAATCTGAAAAAAAGCAACGGACACCTTAAATATTTATCTCACATCAATTTTGGTTTAAATGATTTATGCCATGATTTTGAAAGATTTGAATTAATTAATTTACAATATTTATTAAATTTTTAGTATTTTATTTATCTTCGAATGAAACTTTTAAAAAATTTAATCGCAAAAGGAGGATTTGATGTTCAAATGATTCCATTACATAATTGTTGATAATTTGTAATTTTATATGTACTTTAATTTAAAATATTTCATATTTATAATAGCTAATAATTATTTTTACACTAAAGTGTAACACTAGTGTTCTGAAAGTTTTCTCCATGCCTATATGGGATATCTTAAATCTACAAATAACTGATTGTACTATCATTGTTATGAATTTTATAAATATTTTTATTGTGCTGCAAGTATAACACAAAATGAGAACAGACAAGAAAACATATTTTATTTATTTACATCCAATAAACTACTTCAATGAATAAATAAATTTTAACAGAGACTTAAACAAAACAGTAAAACACAAACCGTATACAACATTCTTATTTTTTTTAAAATAAGAAGTAAAATAATTAAAATACATTCTTAATTTTCTTAGCCTTTTATTTTTATTTGTATTGCACTTAGAAGTATGAATTTATGTTAACAATTTGATAGATTGAAGAAGATAATTTTGTTTACTTAGAAGAAGCAAAATTGTCATTCGTTTGGGTGAAAAACTTCCTAGCTTTATTAAATAAATTTAACAAATTATTATTAAAATGATGTTCGAAAGTAATATATAATAAAATAAAAGGAGTATGTAAAATAACTTCAGGTGTTTGGATCCTTATTGCTAGAAACTCTAATTTAGTATTAGAAAGTGTTAGACTATTAGAGTAAAAATGTAGATCTTGTTGTACTGTAATCGTAAGTTTCAAAATATCAATAAATAATTAAAAAAATAAAAAACAGAAATAAATGCATAATTTAAAAAAGTAGCAGACAACTTAAATATACATCTTACACATCAATTTTAGTTTAAATGATTTATGCCATGATTTTGAATTAATTAATTTAAAATTTTTAATGAATTTAATGATTAACTTTTAGTATTTTATTTAATTTCAAAAGAAAATGTTAAAAAAATTTAATTGTAAAAACTTTACAATTTTCTAAACAAAGAATTTTTTTTTCCAACGAAATCATAAATAGATTTTTAAAAAATTATTTCTCACACTTTGAAATAAATGTGTGTGACATTTTGGGTATTTCGATTAACGTTCTAGTAATAGACTTGAAACACAAGAACCGACTTTATAACCGTCATATATGAAAAAGAATAGAATTTGTTATCAATTTCAGATGAAGCTGCTTCTTACTTTTCAAAAATAACTTTTTTAAAAATTTCCTCTTACAATAATAATAATAATAATTAGTTTACCATACTGATTCAAAATAATTTTTTAGAAAAATAAAAATTTCGTTTTTAAATCTATTAATATATAAAACATCAAGTCTAGTATGTTCTTAAAAATAGAATTTAAATTAAACGCAAAAAATATTAAATTGATGAAAAAGACTTTTCTAGTTTGGAAGGGTTTCTGAAATTGAGTTGTCCTTACGTTCGAATCTGAGGATAACGTATCATTTTAACTATTACAAATAAATTAAAACAACTTAAGGGAATACCAGGTAAATTTAATTTGATTAGGAATTATAAGAAACAAGTGCAGTTCCGACAGAAGTTTCTTTACTCTTTTTTTTTTTCCTTTAGGAAAGCATTAATACAGAAAAAAAAGATTAGCAAAAAATAGTATTTTTTTACATCGTTGCTACTAACATTAATACACTTGCCGATTCGTTAAGTTCGTTCAAGTAAAAAGTTCCGTTAAATTGTCGAATAAATTAAAGATTTTCATTTCTTCACAACCTGCTGTGTTTATTCATTGTATCGAAAACAGCTTCTTGATGACTCTGACATAATCATAACAAAGGGGCATGTTCGATAGAGCAAGATCGGGTTTGTAGGTCAGGTGTGCAAATTTCATCCAACTCAGGCTATAAACCTGATCCTAGCTTCGTATAGTCTCGCATTATTGTCCAATTTTTTTTTCTTGACTGTGAAGAAATAAAAATCCTTAATTTTTTTAGACTTTTTTTTGAAATCATGAAGGCTTCCCGAAATAGATCTCACAGTATGGCAATTGTGTCTGCAAAAAGGTTTGTAAAAGAACGAGCATAAGTTGGTTTTTAATCCAAACATTTTAAATTTACATTAATTAAAATTTGTTAAAATTTTTTTAAGTATTTTAAATCGTTTTAATCAAATAAACAAATTAAAAAAATTAAATTACAAGCGCATGTTTCCTAAAAGATAGCTTAAACATCCTTAATATAATCTGTTTTAATTTAATTTAATAATTCGAAATAGAAATTATAATTTAATAAGGATAAGTTTTCCTTCACTTCGTTTGGTATTCGAATCTATAGAGATACAATGATTCATTAGATGAAACATGTATGATTGCACGTGTTACAAAAAGCCAACAAACACAATAAATAATACAAATATTTGAAGACCGTCTCTCTTTTCATTTCTCACAAAAGACCACCATAAGATGAACCTTTAATTTTATACTGCATGCAAAGAAGATGAACTATGCGTTTTCTGAGTTGGGTTTGAAGGCTTAACGGTTATCACAGCTAATGCCGCGTTCTTGGGTCGAGTAAGGATTCGGCGAACAACAAAGAATTAATACTCGCCACTATGAAAAACGTAAAGTGAAAATCAACACCACAAAACATCTTGAAGCTGTGTATTTACATTAAGTACAGGATGATATCTAATTCCGATAAGGAAAAAAGAGCTTTCTAAAGAAATTCCTCTAGATCAAAATGTTTGATCATTATGATTGAGCTTATAAGTTTGGTCAAATGTTCACTGCTCATTTCGGTATTGTCTGAAGTGTAGCAGCGTTAAGTTTTTTTAATGCTACATTAACAATCCGTATAAAACGTTTTTATCATTCGAAGAAATAATGTGAATAAAACGTTAATATTGGCTTAATTTTAAAGTGTGATTATTTAGATAACAATATATAAATGCACTCTACATATCGAATTGTTTATATTTGTATGCTATTTTCTGTAAAATTTTCCATGATTTTGATCTGCATGCGAAGCTTAACCCTGTCATATTTTTAACTGGAAGTTTTGGGTATACATTTTATATAGGCTATTAGAAGCGTTCCATAGCCCTTAAAATCTGAATGTTAGCAAGTATTTAATGCAATCCATTCCTGCAGTTGGTGCACTATCACTATTACTCAGTTGCACTGAACACCGTTTGATATCACTCAATGGCGCATTCAATTTCACATCACTCAAAAAACAAATATCACAAATGTAACAAATTTATATATCGTCATCATCGTCACTAATATCGTCCCAACCAGCTTCATTTTCAGATATAGCCCGTTCTAGTCTTCGAATATTTTGTTCCCTTTCAAAGCGAGATTTATCGTCTTCTTTTTTGACCGAACTACAAAAAGCTATTTGATTTGACTCTAGACGCAATGCAGGGTCCATTGTAGAGTGATGAGGCGTGAAGTTCGTTTGGCGAATACAAACGCCATTGATAACTTGATTTGCACTAGTCGCTTGAGTGGTCAAAATGTCATCATTGTCTTCATCATCATCATCGTCGTCGTCAAAGCCACACAAATCACTATCTGGAGATAAGTCTAATCCTGGATCAACCCACTGCGGTGCAGCAGGTTTTCGACGGTTGCTACTACCACTGCTTGATGGAGGTGGAATACTAGGCCGTTTTTCATCGCGTAAATCTACAGGTGAATCGGTGGATACTGAACTAGAAGTGAAATTAAGCCTGGCTGCAGTTCTCTGAAGTATTGCCTCGATATCTGGTGATGGATTACGCGATGAATTATTAGTTGTACTAGAAGGGATGTCCTGGTTTGCTAGTCTTTGGAGTGTTGAATAACTGAGGTCTAAAGATGAAGATTTCACACTCGTAGAACGGGTGTATTCAAAGGAAGAAACTATAGGTGACATTCTGGTATCAAAAGTGGCAGAACTTTTATCTGCCGAAGGGGTTAGATCAATTGCCAGAGAGTGTGTCGCTTGTGTGGATGAAGCCGTTCTTGGTGGAGGTGTTCTTTTATCCATTTCATCGACTTTGTCTATCTTTTCTTCTTTTGGTGGAAATTGGTCTCTTGATACGCTCAAGTCCAAAGTATTGTCTGAATCTGGTTTTTCTATCATTGGAGGAACTCCAGACAATCCTGGTGGAGGGCAGAACACCCTCTGAGCTTCTGAGAAATAAGGAAGCAGCTGATTCGCCGTTGATTGTTGGTTCTTGCACATTTCTGCCAACCTCTGCCCAAGTAACAATCTGAACCGGATGGGATCGAATGAAGTAGTATTTTCTGGTGGTGGAAAAGGAGGTGGTTCTGGTTCTTGGTTCTGTTGTTTCAGTCTCATCCGGTGATTATGGAACCAGTTGGTGATAGTGCGGATAGATAGGCCCAACTCAGAAGACAAAAATTCCATGACTGCTGTACTTGGGTAAGGATCCAAATTGTAGGCTAATCTCAGAGCTTCCTTCTGTTCCTCGGAAAACAGGATTCGGGGTTTCTTTGCAGATGAGGGATATAGGAATATCGGGTCAATCGGATATGGTGGCTGCTCTCCACAAGGTAAAAGAGGAGATGGACCGTCTGTATCCATAGCATTGCGTCTCCTTTTATTGGCTGAAATAATAAAGTTTGCTGTATGAGCTTCATTTAATAGGTAAAAAAATTATGTTGTACTAATAGATGCTAAAGTAATTTGTTAAAGTTAAATTTGAATTATACATTATAACTGGAATTATGCATTTCTATTGAGATAAAAAAATAAACTAATGCAAAGAAATGATAGATATGACAAATCTAAATATACCAGAGCATATAGAAGAAGAATTGTAGATGAGTTACAAGTGGGGAAATACAACTGTTCAAATGAGTTTGATGAAACTTAAAAAAATTCAAGAACAAGATGAAATAGAAATTTATAAATGCTTAAAACATAACCGCCTAAAACAATCTTAATAATTAGTATTGTCTAGTTTTTTTGTTGTTTCTCACCATATTAAAAAAACCTGATTTGCCTCCGTTGTTTAAGTTGTTCAACAATACGATACATTTTTACTGCGCGAAAACTTTCACACTTAAAAACGTGAAATTACGTTGATGTATAGCAAAATGTACGGGAAATATGATTAGATAATTAATTCGGGAACTATTAATTGTAAAACGTGTTATAAAAAAATGACTATGTGGAACATTCTACAATTCTGAAGAGGTGCTATTGGAGAATTAAAATTTGATATGTTGAAAGGTTCACGTCCAATGATGTATATGACATCCGAGTTTCAGTGTAAAAAATTGGAGCTACAGTTAAGAACAGGTTTTCACAAAAAAGATTTCGTGAGTTATATTTGTAACGTACACATTTTATTTTTGTAAAATGCAAGACTAAGCGACTCCCGCTAACTACAAAATGAACATGGACATTCGATCTACAGAATGAACATGATAATTTCAAACGTTGATTTAAAATTTGAATGAAAGTTTAGAAAATAATTAAAATTAAAAACAACATAATAAATGACGCAAATAACAATATATAAATTGAACTACTTAAAAAACTTAATTTCGCAGCAAAATATTATGTTCAGTATAAAGAATAAATTATGTTAATTTAATTTATACACTTTCTAAGATCAAATTAAAGTGTTTTTAAATGTGTAACTAACTGCAAATAAAAATATAAAGTTTAACTTAATCTCACAAAAGATTAATTTTTTTTTAAATAAAATTTTGTTTTTAATTGTATTAGAAAAAAATCGTAGAAAAATAATAGTGTAATAATAGAAACGAAACGCATTTAAATTTTGAGAATAAAGTTCTAATTTTTCAGTTTCAAGAACAGCTTTTAAGTTTTAAAAAGACATGTATAATTTAAACAGTTCGAAAGAGATGTATTAATAATATTTAAAAATTAAACAACACGAACCTACAATTTATTTATCAAGAGTTTTGCATTTGAAAGAGTTCTATTTTTGTTTTGATTTTATACATTAAGTTTTCTCTCTCTATGTATAAAAAATATATATATATTTCGATCAAATCGTGATGAGCAATCTCCTCAGTAATTCTGAACTTCGTTTTAGATTGTTTACTTAAATACTATTTCAGATGGAAAGCAAAAAGCTCATGATGTGTCAGATGGCGATAAGCCAACTGAATAAATATAAATTTCGAACTCATCGGTAAACTATTTCAAGGGAAGCATGATAGAATTTCTCTCCAGTAATTGAATTATTGCCTATTTAATTCGTGACTGAACTTTGCTTGACGCTAACATAATTTTTAACAAACAAATAGCTGTCCTTAATTAAACATAATTATTCAAGAGAAAAAGCCTAATTCTAATTGAATTGGGCGAAAGTAAAAAACTGAAAAGAAAAAGCGTAAAAAAAGATGAAAAAAATGTTGAGATCTAACTAGCGAAAATTATTAAGTTTTTTTGGTGCATTTCTGATTGGAAAATTTAAAATACGTATTTTGAAACAATAACGAGAGAAAATTTAGAAGAATTAGTATGACAAAATACATTAATGTAAAAACCATCTGTTTAAGTAAAATAGTAGAGATAGGTTTGGTTATTATTCACGTATAATACTTCAGTTTCTAACCAGAAGAGAAAATGACCCGACGTTACAAGTAAATACCCGGATTTTGATGACCTTTGCATTATTTTTACTCTTTTTGCTTTTTAAGAAACATTTTTAAATTTAAATGGCATTTTTTGAGAGGATATTTTCTAGGAGAGAACAAATTCTAGGATATTTTTTACATTTTATGATTTTTTGGGGTCTCGATGTAAATTTTTAAGATTTTTGATTTTTATACGGGACAGAGACAATCAGGGTAAAAAGGAAGAATTGATAACCAAACTATTACTTCATTGATTTATTTGTGAGGCGGGAAACATTGCATTTCGTTCCCCGCTACCTATTTCAAAATTAAATGTTGTGAAATCAGCCGTGAATCGTCGCAACTAATGTCAACTGGTTATGTTAGAATTTTAAATGGAAAAAAAAACCACATAATATTAATTTTATTTAGTCATACCCATATTTTTGACACCACGTACGTTTTTCCCTATCGTCACCCAGTTATACTGTAACTCTCGATAACATCTGGCAACCTTGTTTTTACCAGAAATTATTATTTAGATTTTTAATAATAGTTGCATACTGATTGATATACAGCACGGCAAGAAAATAAACCGAACCACCCTGGATAACTTTTGATCTAATGTTCGGATCTTCACGTTCTAAGACTCAATCCCTATGGTCAAAGGGGATGACTTCAAATATGCTCATTAATTAGTACATACGATATTTTAAGTTATGAAATCAGACTAAAAAATGTACTTTCTCTGAATAAACATACCGTTTTTTCAATGGATTTGAATTTTTGACCCCGTAATATAGAAGGTAGCCACCATCTGGGAAATATGGTCCCAATAGTTTAGTCAGTAGAGTGCTCCAAAGTTTGAACCTCTTAATGTTAATTTTGCTTTTTGCGTATTTCGCTATATCTCGAGAACTTTTTACGCGTATTAAAATATTTTTGCACACAATTATAAAACTCGTTTTCCCATAAATAATTTCATACAAAAAATAACTTTTAGTAAATATTTATAATTTTTATTATCTTATTGAAGAATGGTGAAGAAAATTTTGAATTATAAGGTATAAAATTTTTTGCAGCATTTTAAAGCTTGATATTTTACATGAAAAAATAAAAAATTTGAGTGAAATTAGTTGAATTGTTTCTAGGAAACTGAATTTCAAAAATACGACTTTTCTAATCAGTAAAATCCAAATCTGCCGGGGAAAAAAGTGTGTTTATTTAGAGAAAGTACATTTTGTGTCTGATTTCATAATTTAAAATATCATCTGCATTAATTAATGAGCATATTTGAGGTAATTTCCTCAAACCATTAAATTGAAACCTAGAACGTAAAGATCCAATCATTAAATCAAGAGTTATTTAGAGCAATTTTTTTTTTAGCATTGTCCGCTTTTAAATACAATAGCATCTAAATTTAGTTAAGAAATAATGATTGGATTAAAATTCTTAATTAATTATAAAGAATTATTTCAACTTGAGAGGATTTTTTTGCTACAGCACTTGTAGAGATTTTTCGGATCATAAAAATTCTGGCCCTAATTTTAAAGTTTAAATCACAAGTGTGAACTGAAATTTCTAAGCGTATGCTAGAAAAAAAGCTCTGTTTGCTAAAGACCCTTACAGAGTTTAATCAGCTTATTTTAGTACGAAAGTTTTTTTTTCTGCAAAGGTGGGGGAAATTACAATTTTTTAAAGAAAAAAGCCTTATATTTCAAGGAAATATACTCTAACTACAACTTCTTTAACCATTTCCAATTAAGAGGGTAAACCTCCGTTCTCAGTCACTACTACAAACTATAAAGTACCTACCCCTCTGACTATTAAAATATTTTTTATTTCGAAGCATGGCTTCCGGGTATTTACATGGTAAGTGAGCAAACAGTGAATTATGTTTTGTCTTGTAAATTTTAAGTTGCTGCACCGGTTTTTTTTTTAACCGTTGAAATAATCTTGAGGTTCAAAAGGACAGAACTTAACGAATTAGTTTACTGCAGAAAAAATTCTGTAGCAATTATAATTATTTTGAATTTATTAAATGCGCTCGTCTTCCTTAAAATGGCATAGCATCATGAAGAACAATTAACTGCTAATTTAATGTAATCCTAAATTTATTGAATGACATGTCAATTATCTACCTTCGCGTCTTTCTGTCTTGATGGCTTGAAGCTTCTCAACATTTGTTGGATCGTTCAACCATAGTTGCATTCGAATAAAAGGTTCCCGGCCTTTGATGCTGAGCATGTGCCAGGGCTTTGGTTTTGAAAGCAGCTCACTGACAGAGCCTTGAGACAGGCCCAGAACAGCCTCACCAAACAACTATAACAAAAAACAATAAGGTTATTTTTAGAACCATAGAATCTTCATAAAATTTGATTTAACTTACAGATAAAAGTTAATTAATTAAAATTTATATTATTTTTAAAGTTATTCGTTAAATTTAAATCCTTTGTTACCTTAATATTTTTAACTAGCATACACATATAAGTTCATATTTTTCTACGAAAAATGTTTATACATTTTAATTCATGAAAGCTAAAATTTCCTTTTACCGGTAGATCGCCAGCCAACTTCTGTTTCCGATTTGTAAGCTTTCCTGCAACACAAACCGGGTTTTTTTCTACAGCTTGAACGGAGAGAATAAAATCTTGATTTTTTGTAATCAAATTCATTTTATCATATCGACAGAGTAAAATTATGCCAAATTATGATAAGATTAGCACTAAATTTCCTCGAAAAGGATAAACGCATTCCAGATAAAAACAAAAAGTGGTGGTCCGTTTTTAGTTTATGTCTAGGAATATTCTTTACTGCTATTACGTGGTTGTCAATGAAAATGATGTATACTTAGATTTAAGCTACCGAGTATAGTATTTTCAATTAATATATTTTTAATTAATATATTTTTAATTTATTAAAATTATTTTACAGGACAATATTATTTAACATATATTTTTTTATCTATTAAGGCAAAGTCAAAACTTAATATTTTTTCTCATTTTAAATATAATTTAAACACCTCTTTCACAGTTCTCTACAATAATTGTAAATGGTTCTTTTGTAGATAATAGAAATAAATAGCAGGTACCTCAGCTATCAAGATTTGATATAATAAATACATCAAGTGAATAATTCAAAGTAATACAACTGCATCTCTTAAACAATTTAAAATCATACAAATAATTAAAATATTAGATGACATTATGTTATGTAAAAATATTATGTGTTAAAATGAAACTGATTATATGGTATTTAATTATTATCAATATATGAGTAAGTTTCTCTTATAAGTATCAAGTGAGCAACTAAAAATAATATTGGTCATTTATAGGTAATTTTTCAATGATCAATATTTTTTTCGGACTTGATACAAATACATATTTTACTTGATACATATTTTACTTCTCCAATTTACCATAGTTACGAAACAATTTAGCAAAGGAATAGTCTTCCGTAACTAAAACATAAGCAATAAATATACTTATTACTTTATATTCAAAAAAATGGCATGTTAATTAATAGAAAATAAGTTTTAGTTATAACAAGGGGTTTATAAAAAAATTAAAGTTCTAAGAGCCAGGACCAATTAAGAGCCAACGTATAATGGAATAAAAAGTAGTGTTATATCTTTTTGCTTTCTTGTTAAATTTTAATGTAGCAGTGGTCGCAAGCTAAGATTTCTTTTGGCGCCATGGCGACCAGCTTGCAGAGATTTGTAGACCTCTGGTTACAACAGTAAAATATTATGGCACTGTAAATCATAGGTAATAAGTCAAATCAGATCTAAATTAGGCATAAACACAGACCTTTTGCCCAATATTGTGGACGGTTAAAGTTTCCTTAATCCTCGCAGTTATGATCTGAGTGTCCAAATCTGTGGTGACAGCAGCCATTTCATAAACTGACGGTTGAACATAGGGGGCAAGACAGCGACTGCCCCTTCGACCAGGCATGCCGGACCCCTTCAGATTTCCACTTGATGGCAAGGCAGCACTGCCGGATGGACTGTGAGCGGTGAGAGGTGCAGATGGACTTTCAGGTGTAGAGGGTGGCTGAGGAGATGAAGGATGGGATGGTTTTGAAGTGATTTGGCGATGGCTGGGATAAGTTGGTTCAGCAGAGCTTACTGGGCTAAATCTGTTTGATCCTGTAAAAAAATAAACATAGAATTAATTTTGTTACTCGCATATATATTTTAAAGCACTCTATGGGTGCATAGAGCGTTCAATTCCCATTGCAGTAACCTAGGTTCGAATTCTGACCATAACTGTTCTCGTCTTGTTTTGGTTCTAAATGATAAATGGATATGAGCTCCTTATCATCCTTGATCCTACCGTAGAAGGTTTTGAAGTTTTCCTCTCAGTGTTAACACAAAAAAAGTTTATTTCACTTGAAAATTTCACTTGTGTGGTTTTGAGTGGTTAATTTCATTTGTGTGGTTTTAAAACGTCTATGTGCAATTTAAAGATAATATTAAAGATAAATTATTAATATTAATTATTAATAAAACTATTAATATTAAATAAATAAAATAGGTATATCATGTTTAACGGTGCAAAGACTTTATATATATTAAAATATCAATTCCCTTAAAATTGATATTATATCTGAGTTTAATTTTGGTAATTAAAGGAGAAGTAAAAATAACTCCAATGTCCTCTGGCTCCTTTAGTGCAGTCGATACTAAGAACAGAAAAAAAATGCTCTTTACGACAAACTGACAATGACTTAGCTTAAGATGAAGGAGGGCGAAAAATCCCGCATAAATTTTAAATTTTAAGGTTCCGGTTAAGGTTAATAAAGCCATGTCTTTGCCAGGAGCTAAAAGTTTCCTTGGTTCAAAAAACAGACGAGGATGTGATCAAGGATTAGCAATAAAATAAGAGTGACCAAGAAAAAAAACATCAAAGCTTGAGCCTTTATGGTTATTAATATTAAAGTTTCTGAATGATCTAATACTTTTTTTTCTCAAACTCGTAGAGTTTTTCTCAGCGGACTTTTTTAAAATCGTTTTTATATGTTTGTTCGTACTAAATGGATAAAAAGGAATCGAGGTCATTTTTACTCCATCCCTAATTTCCTAAAAATCAAGTTGATCCTTCGAGAACAAGGGTTTCCAACTTACATGAGGTTGGGGGCCGTAATTAAAAACACCAGTCAAATGGATGGGCCGCAATTTTATCAAAATTTGTATAGGACTCTTTTATGTTTGAAGGAACATTAAATATTACTGTCAGATTTTTATCAATTAGTACAAAACAAAAGTATTGAATTGCAAATTAAAATAGGAAGTAGATTTTTATCGGAGAAAAATTTTTTTTTGCACCGTTGGTACGTTAAATTTCACAGAAACGAAGAAATTAGATTTTTTTTAATGAAGAAAAGTACTTTAAACCCATATACATTTTTATGAAAATTGCCCGCAAAAAATGACAACTAATATATTTTAGCTCGCGGGCCTCAAAAAAAGGCTTCGCGTGCCGGATGTGGCCCGCAGGCAGCCAGTTGGTAACCACTGTTCTAGAAGTTTAAAAAAAATTAGTCTCAATTATATTTTAGTTTCTATTGAGTACATAAACTTTCATATAGTTTTACCTGGTGGTAGAGGCACGCCGCCATAGCCTCCCATTCTCATCAGTCTTTCAGGAGCTATTTTATACTGAGAGGCGACTAATTTGTGAACGGCATTCTCGTCTTCGAGAAACATCTTCATTCGGATAAAGGGCTCTCTACCTTTCTGTGTCAGCATGTGCCAGGGCTTGGGCCGGGCCAACAGGTCGGAGACGGAGCCCTGCGACAGTCCCAAGACACTCTCCCCGAACAACCGCTGGCTGATAGAGTACTGGGATAATTGTTCTTTCACCTTGAAGGAGAACATCACAAAATTAATAACGTGAGCAAACTTTTCTGGATGTATGTTAATTAGTCCTTTAAAATATAAGAAACATGCAAATAATTCTGGCACCTTTTTGTAAGAAAGAACACAATTTTCAGGGGTCTGTCTAGGTTTTTTTGAGAGGTACTTATTTTGTGAAAATTTAGACATAATTTGTGAAAATTAAAAATTATATTAAAAAATTAACACAAAAATGGTAGAGTAAGAAAATATTTTTAAGAATTGTCATCACAAATAAAAATCATTAATGACTGATAAGATTCTATACGTTTTCCTCATATATTCAAAAATACTTTTGCTATTGTAAAATTTTCAGTTTAAAATTTTATACAAATTTAAAAATTTATAAAAAAAACCTTTGTTCATAGTTGAATTTCAACTTGAATTTAATAAAACATGCATTTAACAATACTAACACTAAAAGTTTTTTACATTATGAGAACATTTTCGACTAGGTCATACAAAAACAAAATTTTAAGAGGAGGAGAGGAGAATCGTAGAACTTGCTTTATTAAAAGTATTTTGTGAAATTATCGTTTTTCCTAATGTTGAATTTGTGTAACTACCGTTTTTCCTAAAGTTGAATTTGTGAAGGTACCGCTAAACAGTAGTAAATTTGCCCTGGACAGACTCCTGATTTTGCTATTGGATACCTGAAAGTGTTGTCATCGTAGGTAAATCCAGGCATAAATTCGACACATACTCGTCACGTTGCTTACAGGTATCCAATTAAATCTGGTTTAAATCATTAATCACTTCATTTTTTTCTCGATTTACAATTACCGAATTATCAAGTATTTAGTAACCATGAAAGTTTTATAAGTATACCCTTTAAAAATTATAATCTAAAGCGTTGTAATTCATACAGTTGTAACTAATGCGCGACTTTAAACATGACCGAGAGTCAGCGTCACAAACATGTTTGCCATTTCACCTTATTTTATTTTTTTGTAAATTTATTCTGTTAGTAAACTAAAATCATTGCCGTTCGTTTGTTCTTCTAACAGCTTCAAGAATTGAAATGCAAAATTGAAATAGGTGGAAGATCAAAAGCAAATGAAAGGAAAAATATAATTTAATTGAAAATTGATCTAACATCTACCTGATGGTGTATTATAAATTATTGCATTTTAAAAGGACTTAAATGTATTAATTTTTACTGGATTCACCCTTGTATTTTTAGAGACGGAATCAAAAACCACAGTGCATTAAAATAGATAATTTTAAAAAATTTCATTCGGATTTTCCTTTGTTAATGAACGTTAATGAATGTTTAAACTTTTACAGTAGGAGAAATAAGAGCCCTGTTTTTTTTTTTTAATCAATTAATTTATTTTCTTTTCCTTGTACACGATTAACCACCAATTAAAATATCAGAGAATTGCCAACGCTTTTCTAAAAGTTAAACTGTAATACAGGAAGATTATAAGAAATAATTTTGTTTTAATATTCAAGATTATATAGTTTAGAGCAAAATTAGGAAATTTTGCTACAGACTAGTGGCCAGCTGTAGCATCTTAAACAGCGGTCGCTTTTCAAAACATATGACTGCTTTTTCAAAACTTAAAATGTTTAAAAAAAAAAAAAAAAAAAAAAAAAACTGTTGTACATATATATGTATGCATGTATGTACGGACCACCCTGAATAACTTTTGATCTAATGATCAGATCTTCACGTTCTATAATTCAATCTTAATGGCCTGAGGGGGTGACCTCAAATATGCTAATTAATAAGTGCAGACGATATTTTAAGTTACGAAATCAGGCTCAAAAACGTACTTTTTCTGAATAAACATACCTTTTTTTCCGACCGATTCGAATTTCTGACCTCCAAAATATAGGGGATAGCCACAATCGGGGAGATATGGTCCCAATTTATTAGATTTTCGAGATTACGGTTACATCCTGCATTTTGGGGATGAGAAATTTGAATCGGTCGAAAAAAAAAGGTATGTTTATTCAGATAAAGTACGTTCTTGTGCCTGATTTCGTAATTTAAAATATCGTCTGCACTTATTAATTAGCATATTTGAGCATAATAATGCAAGGCATTTGTTTTGAAAATCTTACTCAAAGTATAGTAAGCATTACAAGGTTAATTTTTCAAACTGAAAAATTTTAAGAAACAAGCATTAAAATTAAATTAATTTTTAGAATATTATAATTTTATGAGTAAAGTAATTCTCAGAATATTATAATTTTTAGAATAAATTGATTTTTAGAACATTATAATTTTCAGAATATTATGATTTTAGAATTAATTTATTTTAGAATAGATTTTATATATTATAAAATATCCTTTATAATTCTATATTCATGAAAAAAATAATAATAAAATGTACATGGGGTGAAAAAAACAACAAGTTACAGACAGTTTTTTAATCGCCAATTGCTTAATTTATTCGCCCTGTCTCTCATTGCTTAATTTAGTCGACTATAAATTTTGCCCTACATTATTTAGCATTTAATAAAATGACAGACTTTTTCGTGACGTTGACTTTTGGACAAATAGAGATACTAACTCTTTTTACTATGTCTTCAGTGTTGAGATTGTTATAGTGGTCAAACTGCTGTTGAGTGATTGGAGGTAAGACTGCTTTCATCGGTCTTTGAGGTAAAGTACTGAAGCTAGGTGTCGCTGCTTGATTAAGCAATGAATTGGTGATGGACTGCATTCGCTGTAAGGGCGAAGTTTCCTCACTGTTCGAAGTTTGTTGTCCTTCAGGTGGCAGAGGTATTAATGGTGAAGCTCCTGAGTAAGGAGAAAGTACCTTCATGGCATCCGATGAGAAGAAATTACCATGCTGGAATAAAAAGTTGAATTTAGAAAAATCAGTATTCGTTATTGATCTTTTTGTGTCAGTTTCGTGAAATTTAAGTCAAATATTTATAGATAAGACAGTCTTCCACCATTGAAAAACGGTTTTGAATGGATAAAACAGAAAATTTTAAGCAATAACTTTTTGAACTTCTAGAAATTAATGGTGTTATTTGTTAGGATGCAAAACTTGAATTGATATAGTGAAGAAATAAAAACTATACCTTTTTCCGAAAACGTAACAATGAAACGTTAGGAAAATGTAACGTTTGTTTATTAAAAAAAAACGGTAATTTATGATTTTAATTTTCATTATTAGTCAGAAAACTTTTATTGGTATTTGAATAGTCTTAGCATTCCAGTTACGGAAAAAAGTGCGCTTGCTTTTGTCTTCTAAATTTTATTTTTGGCAAAAAATTTAATCTGGCGTAAATAGTATAATTGCTGGAAGTTTAGATTGTGCTTTCTTAATCTTTTGTAATTATTCAAGCAGGGATTTATTTTATTACGTCATTGAATTGTATTAAATTAGTCATTTTAAGATGTTAGCAAATTTAAATTAAATTTTATCAGTTCGCGTGTTGGGGTTTACTTAAAATTGAAGATCTACAATTTTCTTTTATTTACTGTTTCAAACCGATTGCGTCCAAAGCTCGAATTCAAATAGAATAAACAATATCAATATTGTTGCAGTGGTTGTTGTAAATTAAAGCAATGCTGTACTGTAATTATTGAACAGATTTATCTTTTCACTAATAAGCCCTTAAGTGAGCAAATGAAGAAATTTACCAATTAACTAACGAATAAATTTAGTATTGAATTAAAATTAAGTGACAAATATACTCACTTCATGCGTGTTCTGCTGTTGAGGATGTGGCAGGCAACAAGATGGCTGGTCTCGGCAATATGGAATACCACAATCGGGCCTCCGGTGCAATGGACATGAATGGCATGATGGATCAGGGTGGTGAGATCCTTGAGTGGCTAATAACGTCAGTTCCCTGTGATAGATGGCTAGAGCTTGTCGAATTTCATCTTGTGCTTGTTTTGCTTGTTCTTCGGGTTGTCCATCCTTCATACGTTTGCCTATAAACAATTTCTTTAATATGGTGAGGAATGGATTAGTCTTCTCATATTTTTAAAAGAGTTCGATTGCTAGTTCTCGGAAAGTTTCAGTGATGGGTAAATTTGGAGAAACTATATGTAAGACCGTCATACATTAGAGAGATTTACTATTTTCTTCAAGTAACATTCCATACGCTCACTTATATATGTTCTATTCAGAGCATTTACAATTGAGCAATTACTTTTTCTTTAAAGAGCAAAAGTAGAGCATGCGTACGTGAAAGTGAGGATCACATTCTACCAGGAACTAGATATCACTACCAGAAATTGTTGAATCTCTCTTTTACGAATTAAACCGTTAAAAAACCATTTGATATAATTTAAAAATAAAGCTTGTCATTAATAAGCTGTTTAGTTAAAGAAAGTGAAGCATATATATATATATATATATATATACCGAAGAGTCATTACATTATGACCACCCTCCATCTATAACAATGGGCTCGCCCAGGTTTTCATGGTTTCTCGCCCAGGAACAATGCTTTCATGGGGCACATTAGGACCCATAATCCTCATAGAACAATCCCTGACATCTGTAAGCTACTTGAACATAGTTCACCCATTCATGGCAACAGTTTTCCTGCGGGGGATGGTGTTTACCAACAGGATAATGCACCATGTCATAAGGGTCGAATCGACATGGATTGGTTTGAGGAACATTCCAGTGACTTTCAAGTCATGCCTTGGTCCCCAAATTCACCTGACCTTAATCCAATAGAGCATTTGTGGTCTTACTTGGAAAACCAAATTCGTGCTGCCA